TCTCTGCCCTACAATATCCCATCTTCGATCTCTGAAATTTGATAGCATACGATTGAGGGTTGTGATTCACCTGCATAAAGAAAGAATGTCAACTTTTGAACATGCCAAGCACTGTATCAGGGAACAGAACGTGTCACAGCCCCAGCATGTTGTTCCAGATCTACTGTCTACATGTTTTGTGTGCAACAAGCTGGACCCATCACTCTTTCAACATGTTCAAGGCTAGCTTCTTACTACAGTCTAAAAATGAGCTACTTGTCACTTTGGACTGGGCCAGTGTTGCAAGCCTTTTACACAACTATTTCACCTAATGAATGCGATATGTGAGAGAAATGTTTGGATACTAAAATTGACATGTACACTACTCAAAAAAAGTTAAGCACCACCCGATTCTTTCATATTACTATATATCATTCATAAAACCTGCCCTGTGAAGATCCGGGGTAGAATAGATCTTCATCAACCAATGCTTGCCGTAAAAGGCGACTATGCTGGTCGTAAGAGGCAACTAGGTGAGGTGAGGTGAAATTGGGTTTAACGTCACGTCCAAGATTATTGCACTTATATAGCGACGTGCATGTACGAGTATGTGTTTGTGTGGCTGCTTGTTCTAGTCCGGACTAATGCCGATTTATAGTGCTAGCTCACTGAGATACCACGCCGCAGTTTAACATGAATACCCCACTCAGACACAGTATACTGACTCAGAGCCGACCAGTCCTTGTTTTAGCCCCTTAATGCCGAGCGCCAGACAGGGTAACAACAAGTACCATCTTTTAACGTCTTTTGGTATGACGCGGCCGGGGATCGAACCCCGGACCTTCCGCTCTCCGGGCAGACGCTCTACCACAGGACCACGGAGGCGGTAAAGAGGCAACTAACGGGATTGGGTGATCAGGCTCACTGACTTGGTTGATGCATGTCATCGATCTCAATTGCGTGGATCGATGCTCATGATGTCAATCACTGGATTGTCTGGTCCTGACTCGATTATTTACAGACCACTGTCATATAGCTTGAATATTGCTGAGTGCAATGTGTTTGGACCAGACAATCCAGTGATTGACATCATCGGCATCGATCCATGCAACTGGGATCGATGACATGCATGAACCAAGTCAGCAAGCCTGACCACCTGACCGTTAGTCGCCTCTGACGATAAGAAGTCGCCTTTTACGACAAGCATGGGTTGCTGAAGACCTATTCTACCCTGGATCCAAATCCATGGTGACCATACCTCACATGACTAACGGACATTCTTAAAATCAAAATGTAAAGGTCATTGGAGAAAACCCCCAGAAAGAGCAGAGAACATTTATCGGACACAAGATCTTTAGCTGCAAGCAAATGTTACTGGAGGACATGGCTTAATATGTGATTGATTGATTGATTGATTTAAGCCACTTTTACCAATATTAGCAAGGAATGCTAGTTATGGGCTTCACACATTATACCAAGGGGTAGACAATATTGTCGTATCCCACTACTCTACTGCTCATTTTGGACTACTGATTATGTAAAAATAACAAGAACTGGGGAGGAAACAACAAGTCCATCTAGATTTTAACTAGTCTCCGACTAACAGACTACTGCAGGGGTTGAAAAATACCATTGCCCGACGCCCGTGCCAAGTAAGGTTTAGATGTCGGGCGTGTAATATACGTTTTCTAGCATGCCCGTGGACAAGTAGAGCACACAAAATGAACTGGGTCAAGTTTCACGCGAATGTAATCATGTGATCATGATACAGTATTTGATTGGCTAATATTTTGTTAGTGTCCCAGACTGACAATGTAATTTGCATACAGCTACGCCAGTCAACCAATGGGATTAATACATTTCGATGTCAGGCAGGTCAACAACGAGAACCAGGCTTGTTGCATTGTTAAATCGTAGTAACACTTCCATATATGGCACATGTTTCTTGGAAATGGAATTTCTTGGAAATTGTAACGCGAGGTTGAAACATTTTCGGACTTTAGATGCTTCGTTAGGCCTAGCTCTGATGAAATATAATTTTGTCGAACTACAACAAACGGAACTTTTAACGAGTGAAAGTATGGCATTTATTTAATATGTGTTTCTTTTCGTTGTCAACTAAAGTTCATTCGAGGCGCTGACCGTGGTTGCTGTAAATAACGGCGAGTTGTGCGATCAATCGACCCCTTTACAAACGATTTCGGCAAAATCTAAAGATCTAAACTGTATTGAATGAAATTTTAAATAAAATTAATAAAATATGCTACAAACTTATGTCAAGGTACAAACGTGTTTTTTTTATAACCAGATAGTAATAATAGGATTTAATTGCGGAATTTGTTGATTGGTATTTCCGGTGTTGCGTGCAGGTGGTATTGGTTTTGCGATGGGGAAATGACATCGTGTCAGTGACTTGAGTTTACTAAAAGTGTATATAAGTTTTGGGAACCATGTGTTACCGCACACAATAACCGAGTTAGCGCTATATTGTAGAGTGCAATAGCGAGGGATCACAGTAAGTAAATCTGTTCTTTCAAATGAGTAAGCTAGTAAAGGACAGAGTAGCCTCCCTTTGCCTCATTAGCACCCAGAGGGGTATCTGCAATAACAATTTATATTGCCAGTACCGCACATGGCCGATCATGTCTCAGCGGTCTATTTTAAGTTTCTTTGGCGGTGGGGACGAACTTAAAAGGAAGGCAGAGGGAAATTCCGAAAGTTGTATATCGGCAAAGAATAAGAAGTATGAAGAATGTAAACGAAAACGAACATTCATCGCTGGGTGGAAAGACCAGTTTCCTTGGGTTGCGTATGATGACACAGCGAAAGTCATGAAGTGCACCATTTGTTCCAAGTACCCAAACATACACGCTTGCAATCGTAAGCGAACGTTTATTGATGGATGTTCAAATTTCAGAATTTTATTCTCAGTTCTGCAGCAGTAACATTTTACTGAATTTATTAGCTAGATTTTGGGCTAGTACATTTTAAAATAGGGCAAGTGAGAATGTTGCTCATACTTGCCCTTGGTCAAGTAACATTTTTAATAATTTTTCAACCCCTGCTACTGGATGTGTCTATCCCTCTGTACCCAGGTTGGGGATCTTCCTTGAGCCTTGGCATGAAGAGCGAACACTTTAACCACTAGGCTATCCAACCTTAAACTACAATATATATTCTTGATGAAACAAAAGGCATGTTTCTTGTTCACTGACACCAACTGTACAAACAGTAATCCATTGCCACGTGATGTAACCCTTTATGAAGCAGTGCTGACACTTGGCCTGGCATCATCATGTCACTCATTTAGGGGTCCATAGCACGCACATGCAATTTAACAATAAAACCTAAAAAATAATTTGGAAACTGACAGTTTCAAAATTAGATAATTCAAAATGAAGCTAGATAATAAACTAACATGAAAGCGCCATTAAACTCTCTACAACCAATTTCTTGAAATGAAAATAATTAAAATTCAGTTATCTTTTTCTAGGAACATGGGCTATATCTAATCCAACATTGATGACTCATCGTTTGTCACAAGAATTCACCATAATCACCAAGTATGCCCTTGTTTTGGGACGGTCAACAAATGGAAACGCCAATTTAGGAAAATAATTTAATAAGTGAACAAAACTGTGCAGAGAGGTGGCTCGTTGGAAGTCCATCGCTGAAGCATAGCATGTTTAAGGAAAGGGTAAGGGGTAAGGATGTGCTCCGGACAAAGAGAGATGTTATCAGTCCATTTTATTACATCATAGCGGGGATTAACCTTCTCAACCGGGCTGTAACAATGGTCAGGCCCACGGGCTAAGTTAGCCAGGCCTTGGCCAACATAAAAGGCCTCTAGATAAACGCCATATAGATTTACTGCAGAAATGTGATGATTTCATTGCAGTCTCTATGCCTCAGTGATTGTTAAAGCCATTAAAACTTGTGTTATCAGAGTCTGCAAGGTTATCACTGCCTAATAAACTGTTTTCTATTTCCATGGTAACAGAATTAAAATGTTATAAATCACAATGTGATAGTTTTTGAATTCATTGCTTATTCAAAACAAAATAATAAAATTAGGAAATGGTTTAATAGTAGCCTGGAACGTTGATTCAACCAATTATCAGGCACAGTTTCAATTAATGTTGATTTTTAGAGTGCAAATAATTATATGAAAGTTTCCATTTTTATTCAATTTGTGTACGAAACAATATTTTATGGATGTTTTATTGTCTATTACTACACTGATTAACTACACAGCCCATAAAATGTGTCAAATAGTTCAAAACTTAATCACACGATTTGAACAGAAATGTCTCTCAAGTTAAAGTTATTAATACACGGCCATGATTTTATATCCAAGCTACATGCAGTTTATTGTATCTAACAATCAGCCAGGGTGCTCGTGGGGCCAGAGATTTTCATAGATGAATTGTGTGCACCCATCCCTCACTGCCTGCCTGCTCGTTAGCAGCGGGCGAACCTCGCGCAGACTGGCGCCGTATTAAAGGGGTGACGGGGCTACAATGAGAATATATCACCAATGGAAACAAAGACGGTGGCTGCACAAGAGGGACTTACTCGTACCTTAAAACGTACTGTACTATATATTTGGGAAATAATACAACGTGGACGGCAAACTACGCGCCCCGTGTTGCTGTCGTAAACTAGGGTATAAGGTGCCTTCATGTTGATCTGTCAATATTTAATCCTCAGCCACGGTTCGCGCCTTGTGCTGTTTTCGCGGTTGGAGAACGCTAGCCTGAGAGACGAGCGGCCGAAATGAGGTCACATTTTATGTGAAATCGATAACAAAATTTACTGTTATTTTCTACAGCGGAGGGGGCTTTGTAGTCATCGCCACCTAAATATTTTACTGACACTGGCGGATCAAAAAACAATTCCTGTAAACAAGAAAGGGCTACGAGCTGTCTGCTAGCTCCGATCATAAAGTCATGTTTCGTCACTTAAAATGGACGTTAACGCATGCAATATTTTTTTTACGTGTAGATATATAATGTACTTACATGTCTGTGTCCTTTTACTTTGGGATTCACTCAACAGCAAGGTAAAAATCCAAAAAAAGCTCGCAGACTGTAGGATCCACTCATGGCCCTGCGCCATGATGGGTTACTACTCAACAAACCACTTCCGGTAACGGCAGCGCCCTCTGTAAACAAAGGTATCACGTGCAATAATTGTCAATTGTCCCGTTATCATGTAAGTATAGAAAACATCAATGGCATCTTGAACTGAAACCAGGATGAGGCCATGTTACGAAACAATCAAATCTACATCCCCAGATACACCGTAACTTCGAACGTCTATGAACAATCGATCGACGCTCTGTACAGAAACTGTTATTGCCTTCGTTTCATCAACGAATCTGTCACAATGCCAGTCAAGGCGTGTGGCGGTTTCTGACCACAGAATTCAATATTAGCGGTCATTGCATTAATCTATATAGAACGACATGACCGCGAGACACGAGGCCGGTTTATCCATGCTTATAAGATGGCATAGTTCCTGCACCGTACACCACCAAGTCGTGTGAGCGCATGAAGGATGTCCGAGTAGGCTGTGCCGTAGCCTTGATGGCTGTCCGTCAAGCCCTGGCGTATGTGGGTGGGCCTTGTTTCTCACAAACCTACTGGCGTACAATTATATAACGAAAAGATAAACACGAGATGTCGCATTGCGGATATTATGTAATGTATTATACATGCATGGAGTATAATATCGTTATAGTATGTCTGTATTTATTGTAAGATACCATTTGCAACATTTAATGCAAAACACGACTGAAGGCTGCTTCGTAACAACATACCTGTGGTATAAAATATTGTTATAGCATGTCTGCATTGTTGTTTAGATATATCAGTGCAACATTTCGATACCAAACATGACGTGTAACTTATACTGGAAAAGCTGTATCGAAACAATGTAACATTGGGTCATTTTGAAGGATTCTCCGTGTTCGGGTTTGGTAAATGACGAGAAAACAAATGCAACGACATTAAATTGGTTTTAATATTAACATTGTTTCCCGATAAAGGTTTTCTTTTATTTACTGGCATATTGCATGAGGAATGCGTTAACCTGTTAAAGCGGACTGAATGATTATCAAGGTACAACACGAAGCATAAATACCACACAAGCGAAAACAGATATACAATGGGGAAAATAATTCAATGTGCGGCCCGTTTCATGCTTGTTTATATATAAACTCTTTCGTTCATCTCAGCGTGGGATATAAAATGTTTATTCTCATAATAATGATTACTGAGATGGCTGTATGACACGGAGTTTATGATTCAAATTAAACACCCACTCGTTTTGCACATCTTTATGATAGGCCGCTTCGGGTATACACGGGAGGGGGTTATGTGGTCGAGTGATTCGCGTCACACCCCACTGATCGCCAGGTACAACCCACCTGTCTCCAGAGCGCTGCGTCATTTCACACCACCCCGCCTCGATGTGTATCAAGTGGACGGTACAAGGTAAGATAGGGCTATAAACTATTGTCTCGCCACCCGTAATCTTTAGTGTCATGTTCCGGGGGTCTATGGATTTACTTGGGCAGTTAATTAGATAGGCATATTTGTTTTATTTATTTACCAGGCTTCGGATTGTGTTCGCGCTTCAAGTGGAAGCTGTTTTCAAGGAATTGCAAGCAAGTAAAAATGTACCATTAGCGGTGGGTTACAATACCGTTCATATGTTTCATATAACTGAAACACACATTATATTATATTATATTATATTATATTATATTATATTATATTATATTATATTATATTATATTATATTATATTATATTATATTATATTATATTATATTATATTTGCGTTTTAACCTATCAATATGGAGTTTTTGACACACTGACAAGCACTCAATTCTGTTATTAACAATTATACGGACAGTTAACTTTATGAGAACTCCTGATACAAACCATGTACATGCGACTGACGCGTATTCAGTTCCGGTTTTTTAGTGGAGCGTGTTTTATGAAGACGACGGAGTAAGTTTTGTGGAAGAAGTAGTAGCTTATGTACATGCGCCGCCAACAAGGGAGAAGTGCAGGGGTGAGCAGTCTCTGTTTTTAAACCACAATAGCTATGTTGACGTATTTTACTCTATCATTTGGTGACGTTTTCATCAAATTGTTCCCGAAATTATTTCCATTCATTATATTAAATATTAAATACACCCAACAACAGCACACATCCACATCCACATCCACATCCACACCCACATCCACATCCACATCCACACCCACACCCACATCCACATCCACATCCACACCCACACCCACATCCACATCCACATCCACATCCACATCCACATCCACATCCACATCCACACGGTTCTTGCAAGATGCATCTGTGCTTGAAGTCCCCTTTCCAGTGTATATTAAGCTGGGATGCATACTGGACGTAGGATTTTACCGTTGGATTTCAGCGTTCAACTGTTTCAATGTTTCGGTCCAGGTACTTGAAGCAAGTGATTCCATAAGTGTGTGTACACGAAGACGGCAAGGTAATGTGAGACAAAGAAATCAAAGTATAAAAATCAGTTTGAAACAGTTAGGATCAGAGTCCATATTACTACCGAATTTCGTAAAACGCAATGTTTTTATTTTATTCAAAAGAGCATTGATAGGTAAGTTATGATAAGACTATATATGTGTGTAGGGGTGAAATAAGCAAAGTTTTAGCTGAAAACATATTTGTGTCTCTTTTGTTACTATTATTAAACGCAATATACATACATACATACATACATACATACATACATACATACATACATACATACATACACATTTTTGTGTGTGAATTTCTCAACGTATATATATGGAAAAAGCATAGTAAAGTTCTAACTCTCAGACACAATATAGTTATAATTAAATAAGTGGAGTAAGATCGAACACAGTTTAAACTGGCTAGCGCTAATTGGCTTTGCGCTCGCCAATTAAAACTGTGTTCACACTTGCAATAACCATGTGACATGTATATACTCCACTTATTTAATTATTACTATATATTACTATATACTAATATACTAATATATATATTAGTATATAGTAATATATAGTAATAATTAAATAAGTGGAGTATATACATGTCACATGGTTATTGCAAGTGTGTGTCTTTTGCACTTTGAAAGAAGCAAATAATATGTTTAATGGCAGATGTAAGCATTGATATGCCTCAAGAGAAGTTGGTCCCAGTGTTAGGTCCCTCGTACACGTAGAGGGGGACCGCTCTGCTCGGTCTGGGCACATTTCTCTTCGTTAATTAGGGCTGTAGACGTCATGAGCGACTTTTGTCAAACTGAGACATTGGATCTGATAAACTAACACACGTCATTAAATTTGGGTTTACAGACCATCAACGTGGGTTTTGTGAATTACTTTCACCAAACACGCCAGGACTGCTTTTGAACACGAGTCTCTACTACCACGTGAACGATACGTTACAGAAGTATTTGGACACATTTGATTATCTCCATATATTGTCAAGCTCCATTTGGCAACAAACCACTATCCCCGTTTTATATGTGTGCTTTAATGGACAAGAGGATTTGTCACGTGTGACACTTGCTTGTCCTTTCCGATAAGGTCGGGATTAACTGAACACCGTGCAGTGGAAGTAATGGTCAACCGAGAAACGCAGCGCGTATGGGGAGTCTGAAGTTCCCGTAAAAGGTAGTCTGGCCGTGATTTACATAGCGAGAATATTCAGCGGCCCCTATTATGTCACCACCCAAACAGCTAGCTGCGAAGTATACTGTCGTAATGTGTGCAACAAGGGTTTGTATCTGTTTTACACCTAGTGTTTGTTCCAGTTTTATATCAATAGTTGGTACCCGTTTTACACCAAGTGTTTGTTCCAGTTTTATATCAATAGTTGGTACCCGTTTTACACCTTGTGTTTGTTCCAGTTTTATATCAATAGTTGGTACCCGTTTTACACCTAGTGTTTGTTCCAGTTTTATATCAATAGTTGGTACCCGTTTTACACCTTGTGTTTGTTCCAGTTTTATATCAATAGTTGGTACCCGTTTTACACCAAGTGTTTGTTCCAGTTTTATATCAATAGTTGGTACCCGTTTTACACCTAGTGTTTGTTCCAGTTTTATATCAATAGTTGGTACCCGTTTTACACCTAGTGTTTGTTCCAGTTTTATATCAATAGTTGGTACCCGTTTTACACCTAGTGTTTGTTCCAGTTTTATATCAATAGTTGGTACCCGTTTTACACCTAGTGTTTGTTCCAGTTTTATATCAATAGTTGGTACCCGTTTTACACCTAGTGTTTGTTCTAGTTTTATATCAGTAGTTGGTACCCGTTTTACACCTAGTGTTTGTTCCAGTTTTATATCAATAGTTGGTACCCGTTTTACACCTAGTGTTTGTTCCAGTTTTATATCAATAGTTGGTACCCGTTTTACACCTAGTGTTTGTTCCAGTTTTATATCAATAGTTGGTACCCGTTTTACGCCCAGTGTTGGTACCCTGTTACAACTAGGGTTGGTACCATTTCTAAACCTAAGATTGGTGCCCGTGTTACCCCGAGGGATGTATCCGTGTTACCCCGAGGGATGTATCCGTGATACCCCGAGGGCTGTATCCGTGTTACCCCGAGGGATGTATCCGTGATACCCCGAGGGATGTGTCCGTGTTACCCCGAGGGATGTATCCAAGTAACCCCGAGGGATGTATCCGTGATACCCCGAGGGCTGTATCCGTGTTACCCCGAGGGATGTATCCGTGATAGCCTGAGGGATGTATCCGTGTTACCCCGAGGGATGTACCCGTGTTACCCCGAGGGATGTATCCGTGATACCCTGAGGGATGTATCCGTGCTACCCCGAGGGATGTATCCGTGCTACCCCGAGGGATGTATGCGTGTTACCCCGAGGGATGTATCCGTGCTACCCCGAGGGATGTATCCGTGTTACCCCGAGGGATGTATCCGTGCTACCCCGAGGGATGTACCCGTGCTACCCCCAGGGATGTACCCGTGCTACCCCCAGGGATGTACCCGTTTCACAAATAGAACTGCTGCTACTGCTACGCCTATACCTAGGGTGTGTAATATTTATACAAATATAGAAATACAAGAATATAAAAAAAATATGTAAGAGAACGATCACTCGGAAGTAGCAAACAAGCAATTCATGTTACCAAGCGACTGATAATTCCTTTGCACGAAGTAGATATTTAAACAAGCCCAACAGTGGTTTGTGCAGATACAACCTATACCGTGCTGCAGGCGACGAAGGAAGCCAGCGTTTCTTTACCGATCTTTGATGCGCAGACTGTAGGCCAGACTGCATTGTTGAAGATGGTAATTACCGGAACATGTTTCAGTGGAAATGAAAAGTAATTTGCTAACCCATTGACGCATTTGCAAATGTTATCATTTCTAATTTGCACAAAGTATATATTCTGTTCCAAATGAAACCACGTACGTACCTATGGTGATACATTTCTACATGCCTCTATACTAATACGGATATTAATTATGCTCATATTTGCATTAAAA